GCAGGGTGAGACAGGAAAGAGCTTGTCGGAACTGAGATGGGATGCAGGAGTAGTTACTTCACTTCTCACAGGAAACATGGTTCCAAGCAATGTGATTCACAACTTTGTCTGCTTCTGTTGGGGCTCTTGGGAATGGTTATCTCATTTCAAGCCATACTTGATCCTCGTGTTCCACGGACTCTGCCTCTCTCCTCCCCTAATACCATTGTGGAGACCAGGCTGTCAGAAAGGCCTGCTCCAAGAAGTTGTAAAATCTATGGTCACTCTCCCGCCAGGGTACAGAGTTCATTCCAACTCGAAGACCTATGCACTGCACGGGATACCTTGCAATTAGATTCCTTACAACAGAAGGAGCAGCTGTGCTGTCCTTGTGAATCTGTTGGTCAGTCATGTGATCACACAGAAAGGCTGATTGCACAAGTGGATCATGTGCCAATATGTGGGTTTCTGCACGGCCAAGACTCAGAGCCCTTCTGGTTCAGCTGGTCCCACCCTGGGTGCTGCTCTATATCTACAGTCCCACATAGGACGAACTAGCCACCTCTGAGCCCCAGGACGACAAGCTGGGTTTGTTCTCACAGGAGCTGCAGCACAGAGACTGGGTAAGACATTGAGCCCTAGAGCTGGGATAGGAGGGCCAATGACAGGGCAGCCACTGAGGGAGGGGTGAGTTGAAGTTAGTGCCAGGAGGCTGGACACACTTTGGAGACTGGAAGAGAATGGAAATGTGACCCAGAGTGACAGCAGAGGGGCCTGCAGGGTGAGACAGGAAAGAGCTTGTCGGAACTGAGATGGGATGCAGGAGTAGTTACTTCATTTCTCACAGGAAACATGGTTCCAAGCAGTGTGATTCACAACTTTGTCTGCTTCTGTTGGGGCTCTTGGGAATGGTTATCTCATTTCAAGCCATACTTGATCTATTTACCTGGGCACAGTTGTTCAAAATTTAACATATAAATATGATGCACAGCCGATGCAATGCGAGCAATTCACAAACATGCACTACGTTGTGTTGTAAGGACAGAAATACTTTCTTCTACACAACTTTTGTTGATGTAGCTGACATTTGTCAGATCCACTTCAGAACTCACTCTAGAAACCACAGTACATAGTGTCATCAGGGCTCAGCTCCAGTGTCTACAACCAACTGCAGCCTCATAGTATCATATTCAAAAGTGAATGGAGACAATAAAATTTTCTTTTTTTTTCTTTTTCTTATTTTAAGTTTATATATATATAGTACATTCTATGATGTTGCAGAGCTGCTGAGGGGGAGGGGGAGAAGAAAAAGGAGAAGGAAATAGGGTGGGAGGAGTAGGAAGGAGGAGGGGTGGAGTTGAGGCCTGTGGCACCCCCCACATTCCTGCATGGGAGACCAGGCGGGGTCTGGTCATTGCTGAGCTGGGTGCAGATGTCAGAGGGGTGTGGCTGAAGCCCTCACCCTCCCCACTTCCCCAGCTTGGGAGCCCAGGGCATTTCCTGAGGCTGCAGAGTGGTCAGTTTGGTTGCAGGGAGAAAATAAAATTTAAAACTGTTTATTTGAGTAAGAAGCAATTCCTGAATTGGGAAACACCAAACTGAAAGAGATTCAGTGTTTCAATGACAAAGCATCAGAGGCAAGTATTGGGAAAACGTGGAAGCGAAATAATGAAATGATTTGATTGGTTGCAGATTAAATTGTGAAAGAGATTCAGTGTTTCAATGACAAAGCATCAGAGGCAAGTATTGGGAAAACGTGGAAGTGAAATAATGAAATGATTTGATTGGTTGCAGATTAAATTGCCTTTCTTGATTTACCTTGTTGGAAAGTCTCTAGTGACATAATTGTATGTTTGTTTGCTGCTTATAATTGGTTGAGATTAAGTTCTTTTTGTGTAACATGAGCAATTACCAGAAATGACCCAAGTTAAGTTTCCCTTATGTTTACATTTTAAGCAAGGCTAAGGTATTTTCAGGGTCTAGTTGGTTTTGGCTGCTCAGGGATTTTTCAGGTCCGGTCTCTATTTCAATTTTGCTTTAACAGTCCAGATCAAATCACCATTGTTTCCCTCTTTATACAAGAACATCAACAATAAAATTATTGCATTTCCAGATGACAAAATAGAAAAGTAATAAAAAATTACATAGATTCATTTTGTTGGAAGGTTTATGATAACAGTTAAAGGTCAAATTCCAGTTTTTTAACATAGAAGCTTTACCAGATATTTAACATCACTTTGCACATAGGTCTATCCCCCTGCGATTTCTTTCCCACTTTTGTACAACTTAACACACCATCCCCTTTGCCTAAAATGATCCTCTCTTCCCTAAAGTCCCTGCAAACCACTGCTCGTTCTTTATGACCAGTTCAAGTGGACCTTTCTTTTGAAAGCCTTTCTTGTCTCATTAAACCAAGTAACATCCTTCATCCTCAGTGTGCCCATAAACCCACGTTCACACAAATGGTATTACCTATATCACATTGTACTAAAATTATGTGTTTATAGTTATTCTCCTCTGCTTCTCTACAGACCAAGTCAAAGTGTGTTTTATGTATCAAATCAGACACTTTGACTTCTATACATTCACGAACACAGTGCCCAGAAACATTTTCCTGTTAACATCACAAAATAAAATATACTAGGATGGCAAATGACAACCCAGGGCAGACCATTTTGTAGAAAATAGCACAGGTTGAAAAGAACACAGGAATACTGACTGCTAGGTTGGACTCCTACGTGACACCAAATATTCATTCTCTGGCAGATTTTATAAAATGATTTTCTTTGGATGTTTTCATGTTATGTGACTTTTCTTGAAGTGGAAGCAATAATCAGGGCAAGGCATAAAACAAAAGAAAGTGAACCCAATGCCAGAGGAGAAAATAAAAACAAACAAACCTCAAATGTGTAGCCAACAATTTTAATTACCTGCAGAATTTTGAGCAGCAAGAAATTCAGAACTCAATTTACTGCAGAGGGTATATTGACTTGGAGAATGTTTGTGTTTGATGGAGCCAGGAATAACACTAAAAACAAAAGGGGAACCTAGGTTTCTCCTGTGCAAACAGCCTCCCTGGCTCTATTGGGTCTGAGTATTTGTTCTAAGCCTGTCTAATGGATTGTGGTCCTACACATGCAGAATTACAAACTCTGTGGTCAGTCGGCAGCCAGTATATACTTGTCACTGAAGTCCAGATCAGCCAGCAAACTTATCACCAGCACAGGATGCCTTAGATCCCTTACATCAGAATGAGCAGCGATGCTGTCCTTGGGTATCTTTTTGTCATCCACATGATCACACAAAAAGACTCTTTGCACAAGTGAGCCAATAGGAGACTCAGAGCCTCCTGGCTCTGCCAGTCCCACCCCCAGGGGCTGCTGTACATCTACAGTCCCAAGTAGGGGGAACCAGCACCCTGAGCCCCAGGATGACCAGCTGGGTCTGTTCTCACAGCAGCTGCAGCACAAAGAATGGGTAAGACATTGAGCCCTAGAGCTGAGACAGGAGGGGCAGCAACAGGGCAGCCACTGAGAGAGAGGTGAGATGAAGTTAGTGCCAGGAGACTTGGCCACTTTGGGGACAGGAAGTGAATGGAAGGAAATATGGCACCATAGTGACAGCAGAGGGGCCTGCAGGGTGAGACAGGAAAGAGCGTGTCAGAACTGAGATGGGATGCAGGAGGAGTTACTTCTCTTCTTTTCTCGCAGGAAACATGGTTCCAAAGCTGTGCGATTCTCAACTTTGTCTGCTTCTATTGGGGATCCTGGGAATACTTATCTCAGTCCATGCCCAGCCGGGTAATTTAACCCGGGCTCAATGGTTTAACATCCAGCACATAAACATGGCCCACTCCCAATGTAACAATGCAATGCTGGTAGTGAACAACTACAGAGGAAGATGCAAAGACAAGAATACTTTTCTTCATACAACTTTTGCTGCTGTTGTTAATGTTTGCGGTGCTTCAAATACAACCTGCTTTAACAAAAAAACAAATTGTCACAATAGCTCAGTTCAGGTACCATTAACCTACTGTAACCTCACTGGACCTCCATCGCCTGTTGTTGCAAACTGCAGATATACAAAGACAACAGCACAGATGTTCTATAGAGTTGCTTGTGAGAATAGATCACCCCGGGACAATGCCACATATCCTGTGGTTCCAGTTCACTTGGACTTGATCTTCTAAGCTCCTGTACCAGCACTTTGTGCTGTCCTTCACCTTCCAGGCTCCACTGTCATAGCCAAGAACCCACTCCTCCTTCCACCCTGGATACCAGCATCTGTCCTCATCACGCCAGCCCCCAACATCCTTCACATTTGCTGAGCTGACTCACTTTGTCGACCTTGCAGTAAACTTCTTTGCAGAATCATCTACAAGTCTCTGTGTGTCTGTTGTCACTCTGCTGTCATTTAGTCACAATCTATCCTAGAGACTTTTCCCTTCCACTATCCTGAGATTTGTGGGAAAGAGAGACGTGAGGGTAAGAGACCATGAAGCAGCACAGAGTTGTCCCTCTTTCTGCCTTTAGGCAAAAAAGTGAGGTCTCAACTGATATCTGCCTTCTGACAAACACTGTCTTGGAAGGAACTGTGGTCAAGCTCCTCTGGATCTGCTTTACAACCAGACCTTTTCCTTGGGCTTCAAAGTCCTTCCTTGTAAAGTCCAGTTGAAAAACCCTCCCAACTCAAATTACAGTGGGTCTGTTACCCTCAGTATCTGATTAAATTCCTCATTCCCACCATCCACCATGTGATATCTGATCATGCTGGCCTGCCTTCAAATAAAAATCCAGTTGAGTCAGTCGAGCAATTACATAAAGTCCAGTTGAAAAACCCTCCCAACTCAAATTACAGTGGGTCTGTTACCCTCAGTATCTGTTTAAATTCCTCATTCCCACCATCCACCATGTGATATCTGATCATGCTGGCCTGCCTTCAAATAAAAATCCAGTTGAGTCAGTCGAGCAATTACATCACTGGTCTTGATATCTCCTACTAATTTTCCATCCACCGACCCTCTCCCACACCCCTAACACACAACAGCCCATAACTCCTGTATAGGTGCCCACTTGTTCTGAAGCTCAGTTTGATACAGAGGCTGCATTTCTCCTATAGCAATAGATCCTGAGTAGATTTGTTTTTAATGCTTTAACTACTGTCCAGATCTTGTTTTCTGTGACACCATTTCCATCTGAAGAAATATAAGGGCTTCAGTGTATCAATAGAAAATGAACATGTTTCAATCCTTCTGATTTATAAATCATGAATTTTATGATATAAGTAAATTTCATGATACAAAAAGGAAAAAAAGAGAATGTTTTGAATATGGTGAGACCAAAGGAAATAATAAAAAGTTTAGTCTGAAAGAATTTTTTTTTAACAAATTCATCAAACCTCCAGTTATTAGTGGTTACGCTAGGAGTGAATCCAGGGTTGGAGTCAAAGGTGGAATGAGACAAGTGTTCAGGTAGAAATATGGACAGATTCCAGTACTGCCTGGAGAAGAGGTGGGCATCTTTCCCCACCACTTCCATGTCCTGGAGAAGGAGGCAGCTGGTGACCTGGTGGGGATGGGGTGGGAGGAGGACATGGAAATGGAATCTCTTATCAAGGCCAATTGGCTCCTGCCATTCTGCCCTCCACAGCTGTCCCCAGCAGTGAATCATCGGTTCATTCAACACGAGTCAGGAGGGGCAGGGGCACGAAGATTAGGCAACTGTAGACCCACAGAGAGAAGATATGAATAACAAGAGCCCCTGCCCTGCCTCCGCAGGGCTGTACTCAGGAATAATGAGAAACAGGAAGGGAAAGGCCCTTGCAAGCTGTAGACAGGTCCAGCATTTAAGTGACTGTTCTGGTGACAGAGTGGGTCTTTTTGGAGTGCCTGACTCAGAACAGAAGAGGCATACAATGACATCAAATCTGCACCTCTGTCCTTCAGTCTGGGATATCTGACTTCCATTTTCCTGCTCCTCTTCCAGGCCCTCAGATACAGCAATTTCCATTCCTCTCACCACTTCATAATGCCAGTCATCCTTATGCTTATTTGTACAACAAAGAGCAGCTACATTTGAGTTCAGTTATGACAATGGAGTTAGCACAGACCTCCACAGGTTAAGGGCTGAGTCCCACAAGACTGCCCCAACTTCAGATGCCAGTTGCAAGCAGCACATCATTATCTGTACTTTTAACCCACAGCTATAAATCAGAGGCTCCCAAGACTCCCTCATCTGTTTCAGTGATTTGCTAGAATGGCTCACAGAACTCAGGAAAACACTTATGTTTACACATTTATCATAAAGGACATATTAAAGGATACAAGTGAATATTAAAGGATACATAGGGAAGGCTTGAAAGTGCCCTCAGCACAGGATCTCTTGTCCCTGTCACGTTGAGATATGCAGCCCTCCCAGCATGGAGATGTGTTCTTATCCCTCAAACCCAGAAGCTCTCCAAACCCTCTCATTTTGGGTTTTTATGGTGGCTTCATTAGGTAGGCATAATTGGTGAAATCACTGGCCACTGATGATCAACTCAACTTTCAGTCTCTTTCCATTCACCAGAATGTGGGGGGTGGAACTCAAAGTTCCAAACTTATAATCACTTGGTTGGTTCTCCTGGCAACCAGCCCCCATCCTGAGGCTATCCAGGTTAACCCCAACCACAAGTCATTGCATTAGCATACAAATAGACACTTATCACTTCAGAAATTCCAAGCGTTTTAGGAGCTATGTGCCAGGAAACAGGGATAAAGATCAAATACATATTCCTTATTATAAATCACAATATCACACTCAAAGTCCAGGGTGAAGAATCTTACAGGGCTCAACTTCTGGTGAGGGCTCTCCTCCTGATTTATTGACGGCTGCCCTCCTGCTGTTTCCTCACCTGTGAGTGGAGGAAGTAAGCTCTCTAGTGTCTCTTCTTATAAGGACATTAATCCTATTGAATCAGGGCCCCACCTTTGTGACCTCATTTAACTTTAAGTAACTCCTTATTGCCCTTACTTCCAAATATAGTCACATTGTGGGTTAGGGCTTCAACAAATAAGTTTTGGAAGGACACAATTCAGTCCTTAGCAAAGACTGTACATTGAGTGTTACTACCTGAGGGTGCTGTGGATGGGTGCCCCCCAACCTCATTGAAGCTTAATCCCCAATACAACTGTTGAGGGTGGAAAAACCTCTTATGATAATCGAAAGGTGGGGCCTTTAAGAGGTGATTAGATTATAAAGACCTTGCCCTGGTTTATTGGTGTGGTTCTGAGAGCTTTAAAAGTAGAGCACATGAGAGTCTCTCTTTCTCTGCTTCCATCATCACACAATGTGATACCCTGTGTCACTGAAGCCACCACCAAGGAAGACCCTGACCAGATGTGTTCCCTGGACTTTGGACTTCCCAGCCTCCAAATCTGTAAGCAATATTGTTCCTTTATAAATTACCCAGTTCCTTTATAAATTACTCAAGTATTTTGTCATAAGCAACAGAAATGGACTAATACATAAAATTAGTACCAGAGAAGTGGGGTGTTGCATAAAACAAATACTTGAAAATGTGGAAGTGGCTTTGCAACTGGGTGTTGAGGACAGGCTGGAAGAATTTGAAGGAGCAGGCTAGAAAAAGCCAATCTGCTGGTGGGAGTTTCAAAGACAAGAAAACCAGTGCAGGTTTAAAATGTTTTAGAGACTGGTTAAATGGTGGTGAGCTGAATGCGTATGGAAATACGGACTGAAACCCTTGCTATGAACTTGCAAGGAACTTGACTGCATTCTATTCTTGCCCAAAAGTCTTATGGAATGTGGAACTTAAAGAAGCTGAACCAGGGTATTTAACAGAAGAAATTTCTAAACAGCAAAGCATTCAGGAAGCTGCACGACTACTTGCAACAGCCTATGCTGATTTACAGCAGCAATGGCATGACATTAAGCCAGAATCTATAATTAAAAGGAAAGCAGAATGTAAGATTTGGAAAATTTGCAAGCTGGCTATGTAGTAGAAAAGTGGAATGCATTTTTAGTAGAACAATTCAATGGTGTAGCCCAGAGACTGCTAAGGAGATTAGTACAGAAGAAAGAGATTATAAAAGGAAGGGAATAAAGACCTTGAAGGCATTTCAGAGATCTTGGGGGCTGCATCTTCCATTGCAGGCCCAGAGACCTAGGGAGACAGAATGGTCTTGGGCAATAGGCCCGAGGCACCCTCCACTGGCTTACTGCCCAGCCACTTCAGGATGCTGCTCCCCACACCAGCACCCAAGTGCTTCAGCTGTGCCAGCCATGGCTAAATTGGCCCCAGGTATGGCTGGACCCACAGCTTAGGAAAATACAAACCAGAAGGTTTAGTGTGGCCTCCACATGGTATTAGTTCTGCAGGCTCCCAGAATGCCAGAGCTGGGAAGGCTTAGGAGCCTCCACCCTGACTTCAAATATTGTATGGAAAAGTCTGGGACTGAGAAAGAGATCTGTCTCAGGTGCAGATTCACCACACAGAGGCTTTGCTAGAACAATGTCAAGAGGAAATGTGGGGTTGGAGTTGCAGCAGAAAAACCACCCAGGCTCAGGTGCAGATTCACCACACAGAGGCTTTGCTAGAACAATGTCAAGAGGAAATGTGGGGTCGGAGTTGCAGCAGAAAAACTCCACCCAGATTGCAGCAGAAAAACCACCCAGGCCATGCTTAGCGGAGCTGTGGGAATGGGACGCCTATGCAGACCCCAGAATTGTGGACAACTAGCCTGCAATGCCAGCCTGCAAGAGCTGAAGCGTGGGTCTCAGACGAGGAAAGCCATAGAAGCAGAGCTGCCTGAGGATTTGAGACCCAACCCCCACACAAGCGTTCAGTAAATGTTAAACATGGAGTCAAAGTACATGATTCACCTGATTTGAGATTTAATGCCTGTCCTGCTGGGCTTGTGACTTTTTTGGGAACTGTTACCCCTTTCTTCGGGCCTATTTCTCCCTTTTTGAATGAGAATGTGCACCCTAAGTTTGTCCCGCCATTGTATCTTGGAAGTAGATAACTTGTTTTGATTTCATAGATCAGACTTTGAACTTTGGAATTTTGAGTTGAAACAAGTTAAGACTTTGGGAATGAAATAAATATATTTGTATGTGAAAAGAACGTGAGTTTGGGGGAGTCAGGGGTGAAATATTGTATATTGGATGCTCCCCAACCTCCTTGAAGCTTAATCCAGACTGTGACTGTTGAGGGTGGGAAATCCTATTATGATAACTGAAAGGTGGGGCCTTGAAGAGGTGATTAGATTGTAAGGACCATGCCCTGTTTCATGCGTATGGTTCTGAGGGCTTTCAAAGCAAAGTACATGAGAGTTGCTCTCTCTCTCTTCTTTCACAATCTCGCAATGTGATACCC